TGCTTGTCAAAATCATAAATTGATATATGTTATAATTAGTGTTCCAAAACACATAAAGTGTGACTAGGTGTGGATGTTGAGTTTCAAGATTTACGAGCATAGGCAAGACGTTACTTATTTTTATTATTATTTTAAATATTTAATCATTCTTAAAATTATATAATAATTAAAATAAATCTAAAATTATAAAATACTATATTTACTTAATAATTCTTAAAATTAGTTAATTCTACAATTTTTTAGTTTTCGAGATGTAAAAATCAGACTATTTTTCATAATTTCAACTTTCAACTAAACAAGTTCTATTTAATAGATTTATAAGAGTTTCATACATACTTTCGATATTTCAAACAAAATGATAAGTCTCAAAATCATAATTACATAATATAAGTAATACCGTAGCTTAAATTTTATCTAAATCTTTATCGAATAAAGTCATTTTTTTTAATTTTTTACAGATAAAGTCATGTAAAAATTTGAAACAAAAGTCGAATAACGTTTCATATTTGGATAGCCAGTATCAAACAAATAGTATATACATGCAAAAATATCAATCGAAATCACATGACCTTATTATTCGATCAAAATATATTAAAATTATTTATATCAAAAAACAAAAAACTAACTAATGGTTTAGGAAATTTATGAGCAATGCTTTGGAGTGCCTCTATAAATATGTGTGTCCTGTGTTGTTCCTTTCAATCCTAACCTGACAAAGCTGAATAACATGACAAAACAACGTGCGATCATAATATTTTGCGTAGGACATTCCTTTTTGACGATTTACTCATTCCTTGAAAGTGATGCGCGGAGATGTCTTCCATCAATTGCTCTAATACAATTCTACAAAGAAAAAATAAAATAGAAAAAATTAATTAGAATACATGTGATCAAATGAACGATGATATTTCAACAATTATTATGTATATTACCTAAAAATAAGGCTAATACTTGTGATTTGATTGAATAGAAGGTGAGAATTCATAATTATCAAGTGGTCTAATTTCTTGTAAAGCGAGATTAGTCGTTTTTCTAGTGCAACCCAAAATTGTATACTCACTATATATAGCTCTTCATATATTCATTATTTTAAAACATTAGCATATTGTTTTATTTATAATTTCACAAAATGTAAGTTCATCATATTCATGCCTTACAAAAACATAAACGGGACCATAGAGAATGTAGATGTTAGGTCTGATCGTTTATTCAGTCAACACATGTTCCTAACATCATATTACCTCTGTATAACACGAGTCTCAAAACATAAATCTCACACAGATTATGAATAACAAAAGTTCAATATTTAAAATAAAAAAAAATGCTCAAAATTCGTAAGATATATACTTCACAATTGAGGTTGTTGATCCGTCAACCATTGAATTTGATACTTGTTCCTTTAAAGTTAAAAAATTCTCTCTACGTGCTTTCTTTGTGAACAAGTGCATGCCGAGCTTGAACAGAGGAGTCATTTGTTCGCAATCCAGAAGTGTAGTCAACTTATCGATCAAAACCTTTTAACACTACATCCATGTGGATCAGTGAGCACGTAGGAGCTCCTATTTTTAATAGCTTCATGGAATTCTTCAAGTTGTTTGCACATTTTTTTTGTTGTAGATTTGTTCTTTTTTCCCCTTTTATTCACTTCCTAGTTGATTCAACCACTTTGACTTAGCAAATGCTATACCCTAGTTGATTCCTAGTCACTTCCTAGTTGTTACATTTATTCATAATAAATGGATCTGATTTATTAGGGGTTCTATTTAAGCCATGCACACTTGCTATTTGTCGGGGCTTGCAAATTTACAATTTATTGGACTAGGTCATTTGGTCAAGAAGAATAAATTTTATAAAATAAAAATTATAAAAAATAACAAATTCGATTTTAAAGTCGAGTACCCAAGATTTTGGTTCAAGATTTGACCCGATTGGTTCTCGATTTCGATTTCTAATTTATTTATTTTTGAAACTGGACCGGAACCATCGGTTCTGATTTAGAATGTTCGATTCTGGTTAAAACACTCACCATAATTGTGATATCACGAAAAAAAATTTAGTAATAGTTTTATTTTTTTTAACTCACTATATAAAATACATAATGTATACATTCTTTTACTTTTGTATATATAAGTAGTTTAATGTAGGTATGTTAACGAGGTCTATTTTAATGGTCATCTTCCCTCACAACTTGGGTCATGTCGAGATTCTATCATTTAGGAATGTACGTAATAGGTTAGAAAATTGCTATCGATTAATCTTTTTGTACGAAAGAGGCAAATTATTATTATCATAGCCTATGGACTAAGCGAATTACACAACTTGATTGCAGTCAAGATAAAACTGAGTTTACATGTATAATATTATTATTATTATCATAGCCTATGGCTCTTGAAAGTTCTCGGGTTTTTTACTTTCTGAGATTATATATTGTTTTTAATATTATAATTCGCCAAAGTGTGGAAATTGAAATCAAATTCATCTCTCGCGTCCCAAATCCTTCCAAACACTAACCCCAAATCAATTCTACTCCACAATCGAAGGCCACCCAAATTCGATCGACCAAGGACCACAAACCTTGGATTATTGAACACGTGGAGGGACCACATGAAGGTAACTCCCAAACAATTTATTTACTTATTTATTTTGTGTAGGTAGGAAGAGTCGATACAGTTAAGTGACTTCGCATATCTGGAAATGTAAATATAAATTGTGGACTTTGCAATAAGAAATCATAAACTTTCTGACTATATGTTCAAATCTACTCTCTTTTGTTTGATTTTCTCACTAGGATGAACGGGAAGAGGGTAAGGATATTGAAGTAGGTGAATATTGACTTCTTGAATTTTTTGTCAAGACAGACATTAAGAATCCGAAGTTTAAGGTCGGGCATATGCTAGGGAAAAAATTCTGTTTTGCTTATGTAGTAATTAACATCCATAATTATAGATTCGGTTGATTTTGGTTACCAGATCTTATTTCCCTGTACAATTGAAGTTGGCAATGACTTGACTGTAGTTGAGTAAAGGTCTGGTATAATTCACATGGAACTTTGCTATCCCCCTGTACATGGCCAGGACAGAAAACTGAAAACACCTGTCTCCTTGTCATTGGTCAAGATAGAAAACAGTGTAATTCACATATATGGTTTGGTATATTCATCCAACTATTGTATTCTGTGGATTTTGTTAGTTAATAACAAAATATTTTATGAATTTGATCTTATATCAGAATAAAATGCTATTTTTCTTAACAACCAATTCTTCATGTCAGTTGAGTTCTCTGTTTTTCAGGAAGGTGAATGTTAATTCAAGTGGCTGAATCATTTCTTGATTATAAAAGTAGTAGAGAAACAAAACTTAAATGGAATCATGTACTTGCATACACGAGTGCATCCAACTTTTCTTGAATCAACAAACACCGAACAAAATTTACACCGAAGTAGCAAGTGAAAATCTAGTACCGATGTAATTTACATATAAATAATCCTACTTGGCCAGAGTGATTGACACAACATTGGGTGCAGGGTGGGGGAGCAACAATTGAACAGGCGTTGTGTTTTTTTATTTTTCAAACTGTCCAATCATGTATAGACACTTATTCCCATGTTTTTAAATGTGTTATTGAACATGTCATTGTAGCAAGACTCTTTACAAATAGATACTGATGCTACCAAAAATCGCACCTGTCGACTTCCGAGCTTGACGACTGAGGATGGGCACGAACGTGGTCTTCTGGTACCTGAAACAAAGGCGTCGAGGTGTGTCCTCGTCGCCCCTCCGATGCTTAAGTTAGAGAGAGAATTTATGAAAGTAATATATGCTGTAACTTGTGTGTAAAATTTTGTGTACCTGATAATGAACAAGAATAGTGTATTTATAGGGGTGGGTGGAGGACTCCTAGTAGGACTATAATGCTGAGATGCTTAGGAGTCCTAGTGCAACCGGAAGTTGTAGTTGGTTCCGTATTGCTCATGTGTTTGGGTTAGGATGGGACTTTGACGGCAGGATCCTTCATGGACGACGTAGCGTACCATCATTGGGATTCCTTGGTTTGGATTAGATTGGGCACGAGGGGGTGCCTTGCTGAGCCGAGGGCCGCACAAGGGTCCTCCACGATCGAGCACGACGTAAGCCCGAGGACGATTGGCCGAGGAGAGAACTCGAGGAAAGAACTTTGACGGTGGCGGAATAGGGACCGCGGGTCCTCGGGAAAGTCTGCTCGGGAATACATCATCAGATACCATGAGCACTTCAACTTAAACTCTAGATGGAACAAATTTAGTGGAGATTATATAAACATGATAATTACAATTAGATCAATCTTTTAATCAATTACATTGATGGAACAAATTCAAGGATCTCTTCCCTTTCGTTTTCCATTCTCTTCTTTATCTCCTTTTCCCATTGCGGATAGTTATAGTGAGGGATATCTCCATGTCCTCTTATTTGAATATTTGAGCAAAATTTTAAAATTTTTTTATAACCGTGAATGTTCGGATCAATTTGCGCACACCTCGATTAATTTCACAGGACCTGAAGTTTATGGTCGAGTACTCATCTTAATGACCTAAGGAAAGCAAATTTTTTTAATATACGCAACAAATCTTCAAGATTCTTTAGGTTAAGAATTTACCCAAACAACACATCTTGATTCACTTTCATTGTAAACACCATTGGACTGACCTTTAAATTATAACGATTTTTCGACTAAACATCACTCAACTTGAAATATCAAACGGTCACCACAACAACAAAAGAATAACAGCCCTATGTTTGTAGTTCTTTTCCACCTCCAACCATTTCACAAAGCCCTCACTACAGCTTGGGCACCGTTGCTTTGTTGGGCATTCCGATAGTTGGTGCCCTGGATTTCTACAAATATGAAAAATCCCCTTGTTCTTTCCTGTAATTAAAAAATACTACTGAGTTCAAAACCCACACTCTGCAAAAAGGAAGAACCTCCGTCCCTGTTAAATTCGACGGAACCCTTGCTTCCCGTTAATGCCCAGCACTATGAGTGACCGTCGCGAACGGGACAGGGACAGACATAGGGATCGGGATAGGGATAGGGACAGGGACAGGGACCGGAAAAGAATACGCGAGGACCGGGATTACGACCGGGACCGTGAACGTAGTAAACGTTCCCGCTCTCATACTCCCGACCGGAGCCGAACCCGCCACACCAGATCCCGTACACGCTCCCCTGACGACCGCCATCGGCACCGCCACCGCCGCCAACGCTCTCGCTCTCCTTCATCCCCTCCTAGTAAGCGACACAAGGACGAAACTGCCCCGCAAGAAAGGGACAAGCACAAGGACCGCACTAGGGAAGCCTCGGAAGATCAGAAAGAAAAGAAGCACGAGGAGAATGATAATGATGGGAATATGATGGACGAAGATGAGATTGAGATGATGAAGAAGTTGGGGATTCCTATGGGCTTTGATTCTACAAAGGGTAAGCCTGTCCCAGGCAACGATTTGGGGGCTGTAAGAAAGGTTACAAAGCGGCAGCCACGGCAGTACATGAACCGCCGTGGGGGGTTCAATCGCCCCTTGCCTGCCGAGGTCAACCGCTGAGATGAAAAGAATTTATTATCCAAGACAGGGTTTGTTATTTGTGGCAACTTGACATTTAATTTCGGTTGCTTTTTTGACTGATTTAATTGCTTGCCAATTATTATGCTACATTGCAGTGGTTATTTTGTTTTGATTCTATCATGTTATCCTCCCAGTTGTTTAGATGATTGAAAGTCAGTTGCTTGGTTGATTGGAAGTGCATGTTATTCAGGTGATTGTCTATTTCTTCTAGATATTAGTGCCAAGCCTAAATTTTTTGTGAATTAGTTGGTTCTTAGAACTCAATTTAAAATCTGTGAACTTCATGCTGCCATGCCCAAACGGTTGAAGCAAAATGTAATGCACTAGCATATGCTGTCTTCTTTTCAATCATGTCGGGTTGAAGGACAACGAGATTGTGCATTCTTACAATGTGCAAAACCTAGTCCTCCCTAAAAGGATGTAGATATACACACAACAACAAAGAGAAATTTGGGGATAAAAACGGGGAAATGAGTTGTGGCTGAATGCTCAGAGTCAACTATTGATGTCTAACAATGGACTTACCACAATGTTACTACAGATGACTTGAAAAGAAAGGAGACGTGACTTGAATCTGCAGTAAAACCCCTCCACAGTTATTTATATTATTATTTTTCTCAAATCACAAAAAATGACATTTGACTGAAAATACTCTAAAAGAACTTGCTTGATAAGCAAAAATTTATTATGTACTTTGTCGAGGATTGCGCTCCAGAAAAAGCTAGTGTAGAGGAAGAGTTTCTGGAATAAAATGGATTTCCATTTACGACCATCTGTAACTGAGTCCAGATTACTGTCTTTACTATTGATAGCTATGACTTAAATATCTTGTCCTCAATTAAGGCATTGGTACTGGCTTTCTAGGTAATTTGCAAGGACATGGACATGCATATGGCTATATGTACAGGTCCTGTTCAGGGCATAAATTATGCCATATTCCCAGTTAAATAATTTAACCATAGTTGTGTTAGTATTTATTTTTCCAAGCAGTCAGCTATATTTACTAGCAGGGGGTATTTCAAAATGTTATTACATTTATTGTTAGAGATATTGTCACGCATAAAAAAGAGGACTTCGACTGGATTGTGGGATATATTCCAAGCCCTTGGTCATCGCCTTTTTGTGGGGATGCAATTCCAAACCTCTGGTCATCGCCATTGTCTTCTTGTTCTACTTTTGCATCGTCTGTCTGAATTATGTTTTGTGTGTATTATGTTGGATGGGGAAACACTTTAGTACTTGGTTTTATTGATGGACTCACCATACAATTGACATTCCCGCAACAGATTATTACTTGCATCTTTCTCACTTCACCTCTCACTTTCTCTAGACAATACTCTCTCTCGTTCATCTTTATCGTTCTTTCATCAATATCATTTACTCATATTATAGATTCATGTGTTGTCGATCTGCAATTTTTGGATGGACGAATTATTTTGTTAGGATGGAGGGACCTGGAACTTTGATTGCGTGGAATGAAAGAATGGAGGCTGTGTGGGGAAGGACATTGAGAGAGAGCGAATGACTGATGTACTGGGGCGGAGAGATGGAGAAACTTACATGTATTGTTTGCTATGCATCAAATTGGTAATGCCAGTAGTATGGTGGGACCGGCCACTAACATTTCCAATTTCAAAGTAGCAATGGCTACTCTCTTCATCTAGCAATAATATACAGAGAAAAAAGAGAGACCCTCATGAGGAAGCCTTCATGTTCATTGAGAATGATGCACAAGATGGGGAAGTTTATAATTATATCCTTGTAGTAAATGATGATTGTCTACTTTATATGCATGCTACCTTTCAGAACCAAAAAGAGATGTCACGACACCAATTATCTCCATTCTTTATCCATAAAGAAAATTTTAACGTGGTCAGGGTTCTTAATGCTTAATCTGCTGTTAAAATTCATTTGACCACTATTGAAATAATGAAAGGGAAACAACATTTTTCTAGTGTAAAACTTTCTTGGGTCTTGTGCAGATGAAATTGCAAGCCATGGCTGTTCTTTGAGACGGAGAGGCTTCCCAATGATGTAAGACTGCCTTAATTTTTTATGTATTGGCTATTTGCACATTTTACCAACTGCAGCATCTCTGATGCTGTTTAGTGACTTGGTCTCGTTGTAATTTGGATTGAATCAAAATGTTAATGGTACTTGGGGCTAAACATGGTTCGGTTCGATTCGGTTCTTTCCATAAAAAATTTAATGGTACTTAGGCCTGGACATTTTACGGTTTGATTTGATTCGATTCTAAACCGAACCAGAATTTTCGCTTAAATTGTCGGGTCCAAATTTAATTATGGAAACGTTTGGATTCGGTTCCATTCAATTTGGTTTTGTTCTGTTTGGTTTGATTCGATTCTATTCAGTTCTCGAATTTCGTATAATATATATTTTTTTAATATTTACAACAACATTACATTAATTCAACTATAACATGTTTAATCTTAGCTTCTACAAAATAATGTAGTCTAATCCCATGATATCTTTTGCATTTCTTTTTGTTGGGTTCTTCGCAGATTTGACTGTTAAAATAATAGGAAGAGGAAGATAGTGAGTTCATAGTAATAGAACGACAGAAACATGACTACGGTAAAATAAGACATTTGAATAAAATTTAGCTCAATTTGATTAAGTTGGCTGGAAATTAGAAATAGTAAAAATCATATTTTGGATTTGGGCTAAATTAATTAGTTAGTAAATTTGTTTAGAAAAAATAAAATAATTTGGCTTATTAAAATAAAAAATTTTAAAAATTGGGGGAGATTCAATTTTATATTCAGATACCCGTTCGAATATTTAATTTAAAAAGAACTGCTCGGTTCGGTTCAATTCAGTTTGGTTGGGTCTGATTCGATGTGAGAGTTTTATCCGGCTCTAATGTTAACTCTAATGATCTTGTTTGTGTTATCAACTTTGAAATATACTTCGCTCGTTAATGCTGTCCAAATATTCGACTATAGTTTTTAATGATGTTATGTTTTTGTTGTTATTTTTGGCAAGCACTTTAGGCTTGTGGTTATTATCGAGTTGGCAGTTCGATACTGTGACAATTAAAATAAAAAAAAAAACTACTGCTTTATTCACATACTGGACAGCGCAATCAATTTGATCGGATTCTTTCTCCATGATTCTGCCTAGATTTGGATCAATTTATCGACTTCGCACGCCCCCAACTTACATAAATTATATATGCTCTTAGGTTTCGTGATACGTCGGTATTGTAATTGTTTTTGTTCCTTTGCTTGATAAATCAGCTCTAAAGAGTATAGTGAGTATCGAGGAAGGCGCTAGAATTAAAGCATTTGCACTTTTAAAACGAGGAGCGAATTTGCCATCTCTATTAATCTAAAGGGATTACTTATATGCTCTTGTTTGGTACACATTATTTTTTTCATTCTCATTCTTCTATTCATTTTCAACAACACATTCTTTAATAAAATAATATTTTCCATCACATCAATAATTTTTCCTTTTTTATTTTTCAACCACACATTCCCCATCAATCTACTATTCATAATACATTCTTTCAAATTAATGTGGCTCAAACACGCAATGTTTCAAAAGGAACATCACAAATATATAAGGTGTTTAAAATATACAATTTCAAAACTAAAAAATATATTTTAAAATTTCAAAAATCAAGTTATAATTAAACTCATATTCTTTAGGTCACATATAACTTATTGATTACAATTATCGATTTTATTAGTCACATTTTATTTATTGATGACAAATTAAACATTTTGTAGGTCAGAAAGGCTTTTCACCCCTACCCCTACCCGTACAACTACCAAATTGTCCTTGCCACCGTCGCCACCAGAACCAACACCACCATTTGCAGACCACCACCACCAACCACTCCACAACCACTTGCAGCAGTACCATTCCACCACAATAAACCACCACCGCACCACCACTAACAACCACCATTTGCAAATTGAAAACAAGCAAACCGCCAACAACCTACAACAAAAACAACCACAAAACTCCAGCTTAGCAAATCAAATCGGAGGAGGAAGAAACCACCCCCAAAAAGTCCCAACCCCTACCACAATTTTTCTTTGTCGCGCTTACACGTTGCTGCAACAATTGTGTCGCGAACGCTAATGCGCCCCCGACACTGCCATTCGCAATAGTATCGGGCCACAATAGTTGCGATGTTGCTGTAAACTCTCAGCACTCCACACGTTGCAGTTTGAAGGATGCCGGTGAAGGATAACGATGAATGACAATAGACAGGTTTTCCATGGCTACTTACTGACGATGAAAGATGGTAGACAGGGATGTCGACGTTTGAAGGGGTCGTGGGCGGTTGGCAACTTGTGTGGGATGTTGACGTTTGATGGTATCACTTGCAGTTGGGATTAGTGGTGTGTGAAGAAGAGTGTGGGTATGGTAAATTGGTAATGCTATTTATTCCCGCTGGGAATGAAAACACAGTCTACATGACGTTAATGTGACATTAAATAATAGGTGAAGTCATTTAATTTCACATTTTATTTAACCCATCATTTAAAAACACATAAACTATATTTTCATCCCCACTGAGGATGAATAACATTACTCATGATAAATTGGGGAAATTTATTGGGTTTTGAGATTTGGGTGGGGGTATGGTTGTTAGTTGGGAAATTGTTATTTTATTTTAAGTAAAAAAAAAAAAATTATAACTTGATTTATAAGAAAAATAGTTATAATCTTATTTTTTGAAATTGAAAATTTAAATGTAGGAGTGAGTGTAATTCCACTTTTTCAAATAAGATATATTAGTAGATGTGATCAGTTGACACCGAATCTCCTCCATTATACTACAGATATATTCCAAAGCTCAAAGCTACATGCCCAGATGAAATTATCTATAAATAGACGGGCAAATTCCGTTCAAATGGTACCAAATATATAGAACTGGTAAAATCCTAAATATCAAATATAACAGATAACGGTTTAAAGGAAGAATGATAATGATTTTTCTAATTTCCAAAGAATGATGCAAGCAAATCTCATTCGGTTTGCATACTAAATCCTTGAATCTCTTAATGCCATAGCTTCAAGCAAAAACCTGCTGGCACTTTTGAACATCTTTTCTTGTTTGAAATAACATCAGAAAAGGTGTGCACAATTTGTCCAGCAAGAGATGCTGGATCTTCAATAAATGTATCGATGAATGCTTTAACAACCCTCATCTCTTGAGGTGTTGCTGTCAGGCTGTACCAAGTCAAAAATTTCTGCCTAAACGATGTTTCTATAAGACCATCACATTCTAACCATCGGATTACCTTGACATAATACTCAAAATTCTTGTCTCCAATATCAGTACAATCTTCGTCTCTTTCGTCACTTTTCTTCTTAGAGGATTCCTTCTCCCTTGCAGATGCATTATCCACACTCCTCTCGCCATGTTTAGGTCTGCTGTTCATCCTTCCATTCCCATCTTTCGCATTCTCCAACTTGCAAGGGGTGATCGGCAAGCCATTTTCTGAACTACCCACATACGGCACACATTCCAAAGCAGCCCGACTAGGGATATTTGACAGGTCACCAGTGCTCATTTCCTCGACCATCTGTCCTTCAGACGTGTCTTTGTTTTTCACATTTACAGCATTTTTGTTTTGTTTTTGTTCCTCGTCCAATAAAGAGACTGCATCTCTCGTTGTCTCCTTTTGGCTCTCTGAGCAGTTGATGGTGTCATTGAGAAAATTTGTACAAGAAAATTTATCGGCACTTCTGCAAAATGCAAGATAATTATCAACCCTAGTCTCATCCCTGTTGCTGCATGGGATGACATTGTTAGTTTCATCTTCCACCGAAGAAGGATTAGAAAGGGTGCTACAGTTTGTGGCCGGACTTTGACTTTGTTCTACTTCCACGTTCGTAGAATTTATATTTGCTACTTCACTTGGAGAATTACCCGTCTGGAACTGGGCTTGATGCATTTCTATCTCCCTAATGTTGTTATCTTCAAATCTGACAAGTTTTGCAGCAAGCATAGTGCTATCTAGGAAAAAAAATTAAATCTCACAAATGAGCGATATGGCTATAGATTGCCTCAAAATGGAACCTGCATTTGAAGAAATTCAATAGGGAATTAAGTGGTCGAAAATGGGGAGAGAGAAACAAAGAGATGTACCAGAAGGTATATCAGACACCCTGTTAGAAAGCCTCAAGTTGAAAGAATCTACAGCAGAAGCACATAATCTCTGAACTTCTGGTCCTGAAGAAAGCCGGTTTACAATCCCTCTTGCTGTCTTCACAGGTAAACCAGTTAAAGGACCGACATCTTCTTCAAGCTTTTTCACTGCTTCATCTATGATTCCATATAGATTTTTGTAATGCTTAGTTCCGGCAAGAATCTTTTGGCTTAGGGAGAGTCTATAGCACAATATATCCACACGCCTCGTGTCCCTAGCCACTGTTAGTTGCTTTCTCCATAAGCTGCATAGTACTTTTTTATAAGATGAAAAAGTTCATAGAATTATTTTGATTCCTCATGTTATATAAGATAAACAGCGTAAACAAAAAAAGGATGAGTGCCTACAGAAAAGCAATGCAATCCAAGTTTTGTAATTTTGCAGTTAAAGTACAATACAAAACACGGAAATGAATAATAATAAAAAGAAAGAACCAACACCAGACATTTACCTGAGCAAATCATTCACCTTTCCACAATATACACAAAAAAAGTTCCCATCAAGTCCCTTATCCTGCCTATTATTAGTGATGCCAGATTTTTCGTGCCGCAGGGCACATTCAAGGTGACATGACATGCCACATGACTTGCCTTGAAAAGGAGGGTCTGAGCTGCAAACTAACCACAGGCTTGGGTCCTTGTTGTCATCATACTGTAGACAAATGCAGCACGAACACCTTTTGCAAAACAAATCTTCACGATTCAGTTTAGCTTTACAAGCTGAATTTTTGCAGTATGTGGTATTAATTAAATCACCATCAGCAATGTTAGATGCATCAGTATCTGCTGCAGAAAGCAAGTGATTCGGATTGTCAGATTTCCTTTGCCGTTTGGGAGTCCTTTCACCATTGTCTAATAGAGGCCGTGTTTCAGGGAGATTTTCAGTTCCTCGCTCCAGGGATTTCTTGTCAGACACGACTTTCAAAAGATGCTCGATTATCTTTAACTTTGTTAAGCCCGTATACTTCCTTTCTTTCCCGAGCTCTGCACAGAGGATTTGCAAGATATCTTGACGGCTCCATGCTTGTAGAATATCTGCTGCACCATCTGACCACTTCGACAACTCATAGACTACTACTCTCTTTTGCTCCATACTCAACTTACTGCACTTCGATGGATCAAATACCAACTCTGGAACCAAAAATGCTTGAGTTAACAGCTGTCTGGTCTCTTTAATAGAACACATAATGCTATCATTAATCATTAGTTGAAACCCACAAGGAGAAAAAGATACAAATACTGGTGAGACGTAATTGTCTGCATTCAACTATGAGTGAACTGGACGATTTACTTAGCAAATGCTTATAATCTCAAAGGTTTTGATCTAGACTGCAAGTGGAATCTCTCTTAATACCGAGCAGTCACCATAAGAAAAGAAAGAATAAGGATCAAGGGTAATAGAAATACAAGTGACAGAACAAACATTGCCAAGAAGTTCCAAATTTATTTCCGAAAAATAGTTCTTCCGAGAACATAAATCAGGACATTGCAACCAACGCCTTCGCTTAAAACCCCAAATTCAAGAAAAGAAAAAACGTTGAAAGGAACAAACTATATTGAAAAAGATTAGCCTATTCAAACTTAATGAACGAATATGATGTAGCAATTAGGTGGTATAAAGTAAACCATTATAAACTATTTCAAGAAAAAGCATCGAAGTAACACAACCTTCACCTTTGACTTCCATGATGCCCCCCATGTTGAACTTCCGCAACAGGTGCGCAACGAAAATTCAATTCAATATTTTAAGTTTCACCAAAATTCACACAAATACATTTCAACAATGTAGTTAACCACTCTTCACATTTTGGAGAGAGAAAAGTAATAAATACAGCAAAACAGCTGGCGTTTCTTTGGCATATTTAAGATTGTTCATTCTTTTCTTTCTTATAAGCATCCTTTACAATAATTAGGTAAGCATGAATTCTGGCATAATTACTTATAATGAATGCATAATAAAGCTCAAGACAAGCAAAAATTTACTGTGCCTCTGTGTGAGTGTGTATGCGCGTGGGTGGGTTGTCTCAGTTTAATCAAACAAAATAATCCGAAAATCCAATTAAAAAATGAAAAAAGAAAAAGCTAAAACCCGCATGGAATAAGTCTAACAAACAGATCAAGATGAATTTTATGACCCATTATCCACAAAATCTGTATATAAAGATCCAAAATTTTTCTCATCGAAAGTATCGAAACGCTCAATGTTTAACAGAAAAAAGAACCCACAAACCAAAATTTTAAAATAAAAAAATAAAAAATAAAAATCAGAAGAGAGAGACAGAATTTTTACCCTCCAAAGAAGAAGCATCCATGACTAGCAATTCTTTCAAAAACAAAAAAACTATGCCCGCATTACGCCATAAGCCCGTTGTTTCTCAGCCTGAAAGACAGATTTTTTCAGTCCCAGACACATAATAAAGAGAGTCATGCATATACAGATACACATGCATATACATAAAGATGAAGGGGGTGGGATGTGGTGGGGTAATTCGAGTACCAATGAGATGCGAGGGGTGAAAATTGATGCACTAGCAAGGAATCCATGAAGAGATGGGTCCTTAACGTGGGCTATTCAGCACCCAAAGCACCATATTCATATAATAATGTCTCTGTCTCTTTGAGAGAGAGAGAGAGAGAGAGAGAGAGATATGAGAAAAGTAAGAGGAAAAGAAATAGCATTAATATAAGCAAAACGCAACAGAGAAACAAAAGCGGCCGAACATTTACATCTATTTTACCTTTACTTCCCCCAACTCCTTGATAGTACAAATGTTGAACCTTACACAATGTCTTGGTCAACTCCCTACGTTGTGGCATTTTAGGAACAACATAAATCAAATCAAAACTATGGGCAGCGAAAGTGTTGATTATTCAGAAAATTAGAATACAAATTCCCCACCATTTAAGTTTGACCCGTTTGTTTCCTTTTAAAATTGATTGTTTATAGTAGGTATAATGAGATTGTTGGTCAATTTCCCACCACTATTTAACCAACATAATTCTTGTATGCCTAACTATGATAGAAAAAAAGGTATTTTTAGTACTATTAAGGACCACGAGTCACCTGTTTGGTCTGAATATCTTTTTTCCCTCTCGATGAGTGTGGTTGGAGGCGTTAGTTGGCTTGAATTTTTGACTTTTTAAACCTGAAAACGAGAAATCATTGTACATCATTGAAGACCATGGCCTACTGATCCCTTATCAGAATTGAGTGTTAAGTGTCATACTATATGTCCACTAGGTTTTAGGATGTAAACGCTTTCAATATGACGAATACATTTTATTTATAGTAAATTTATTATTTAATTGAATTATTATTATGATAAATTAAATAAATAGAGTTCGTATATTCATGTCTAGATAACTTGTTAATGAAATGAAGTTATGTTTATGAGATACAAGTTCATATGACTGAATCTTAAATTATCTGAGATCATAATTAATAACTAGATACATATATCATTATTATAGATAGATCAGTAGGTGTGGAATTTCTCACTTATGAAGTGAATAGTTGATCTCACAAAATGAAATGTAATAATATTTAAATAGAAGCGTTTATATTTTATTAAGAGAATAAAATATTGCAAACTCGCTATAGTGATTCTACAAGGATGCCTATCTCGGTGCCTATGGTTAAACTATAACATTTGGTAGTGAAATTTATCCTTCGACTTATGATCATCATAGTACCTTATATAAGAGCTGTCATTAGAAGTGTCAAGACGGACGGGCCGGTCAGACTCGTGAAAATCGGACCTGATCGACCCGGGACCGCGAACCGACCCATGACCCGAGCAGGCGGTTCACGGGTCAAGGAGGTGTGACCCGCGGGTTTCGTGGGTTGCACTTTCACGGGCCGCGGTTAATTAGCTGGTCCGTGAAAAAAAAAATTTTAATTTGAAAAAAATGGGGGGAGGTGCCAACCTAGTTGGGATATACTTATGTTATAAATATTTGATAATAGTAGTTAGAAATACATTTAGTTGTTATTTATTACATTTAACAAAAATTTTTTTTTTTGCTATAAATATGAAAAATTCTATTTTTTTATAATTTTATTTATACAATAATACGGGCCAAATCGGAACAAACCGCGACCCGCGCGACCCGTGACTCGCATGAGCTTGACCCGGATGGGTCAGCGGGCGGACTTGGGTTGTAGTCTAAAATTTGTGGGTCGGCCCGGAACCCAAAGCGGGCGGGCTTTTTTTCACGCGGGCCGTTACCGGGCTCATATGTTGACTGGCCAACCCGACCCGAACCACTCGAATTAACACCTCTAGCTGTCATACTTTGTTGATATTGGATATTGATTTGTCAAGAGTCACTAATACGACATTATTCTAGTATAACAAAAATCATATGAAAGTTGTGAATGATCACTACAAAATTCGCCACTCTTAAATAGTACAAGATTATGACAAGTGTTTCATCCGCTGAAGTTGATATCAGAATTCTTAATCAATGTAAGTTCATAAGTCAAAAGAATTCCAAAAATTATTGACTTAAAAGTGGAACGAAATATATGATTGATTAATCGATATCTTGTAATTGATCGATTTATAGAAGATATTATAGTTTCACGATAAACGAACTAGTTTGATTTTTTTACACCACGTAATATTTTTCGTCATATGTATCGTCGTGACACATTTTTAGATATCAATCGAGGATGACAAATATGAATAAATTAGTATAGATAAATTAATGATAAATTGAAAAGGGAAGTTTTAATTTATCCTATTTTGATTAGATCAAATAATAATCCACGTCGTCGAACATGGTGATCAAAAACATGATGGATCACACACAAAACGCGAGAACTAGAAAAATGAAATTTAAAATAAAATAATGACAGTGTGGGACATTTTTAGAATTAATAAATTGGGTTGTTTATTTATGGGCAAAAATTAATTAACTAATTGGTCAATTTATATTTAACGGATGGATCAAACTCACTTAAACATTTATAAATTGTTGTGTGGAAAGATCGTGCTAAATCAAAATTCCCAAAGGAGAACAGTAAATCGTAATTGTTCATGATCAAGATTCTCCAAGAAGTTTGAAAATTTTGCTAGAGGTAAAATTTTAATCATGATTTTTAACTAAACGCAAAAATGATCATTGAAGGGAATTGAAAAATATTTAATTTTGAAGGGAAGAAATGTTGAAAGAAAGAGTAATTATTGTATTTTGTAATGCAGATTCTTGGTGGAATTCGGCTCTCCGTCATAATGACCAAAAGACGGACTCGGCAATGCAAGATTGTTGAGTCATGAGTTGCCTATGTTGGAACTCTTAGTCGGGTGATCTTTGCAGATTTTTCTCGAGACTGTCTATTTCTGATGGGAGATGCTACAAGTATATCGGGATGTACATAAGGGTGTCCATTATGGACACCTTTATTTACCCTCTAATGTACAAATAGTATTTTCCATTTCTGATACCCAACTATTTAGTGAATGGGCATTGAATGCAAAGTAGTTTGTCGTGGATAGCAACGGAAGAAGTGGACATGGGCGGACACACATGGGTCATGTGTGGTCAACTGATCCCCACAAAAAAAATTTACTTTTTTATTTTTTATTTTTTTTCAAGTGTAAGTTTCTTATTTACGCTTAATGAGTATCACTTTTGTTAGTTTATCTAATTATCCATTTGTCAATAAAATGAATTATTGAGTTTTGGTTTTAGAAATTCTTCCAATATGAATTTAGCGGTGAAGAAATAGAAAGAAAAGGGTTTCAAACATGGAGTAATCTTTACTTGTATATTTAATTTTGTATGATTTTGAGGGTTGAAAGTGATTGAGAAGATGACAGTGTAGTTGAAATTAGTATTTTAAACGGAGGATTTTTTTGGAGTTCAAGATTTGGACAATTTCAAAGTTTAACGAAATTTGGCCTCTTAGGCATAATTGAGTTTGTTCTTTGATTGATAATGTATTAAAAATTGGACGTTTAGATTAACGAATTATTGCCCGAAAGTTTCAATTTGAGTTTCCCGAAAGTTGGCCTCTTATGCATAATTGGTTGGGGCGGACCCAGCACCAGACGAGTCCCTGTGGCCGCCCTTGCTGGATCCACTGGGAACAATTTTTTTTGGTTGACAATAAATAAACTTTTTAGATGATATATCTGCTAATTTGTTTTATTTTCAAATATTTCTTGTAGCTCAACTGCGTAGAGCTCTTATATTTTTATAGGAGGTCTCAGTTTCAAATCTCTTTTCCATTGTTTTTAGTGTGTAAGATTTTTAGTACTTAATTTTTACCTTTTATCAAAATTAAGTGGGATGGAGATGTGATTCGAAATATTGACCCCCTCCTTAAGATAGTGAGAGCTTGACCATTGTGGCACTTCTTGAATTTGTTTGTAGTCCTATCAGAATAATATATGTTACATTTTAGCGGGTTTAATGCAATTCTAAAAATTTGAACCATGCTCTTTGAATTATACAAAACTTGGTCACAATATTATTTGGTGAATATTGCTAATTTTTACAACAAAATAATTGTTATATTTAATTTTTAGAACTTGTTTGATTCCTTTTTTTTTTGTTCAAAATACATTTTTTTCTTCTTTTAATCGTACGTTTTTCAATAAATAATATTACATTCAAATTCAAAACTTTTCCTTATCTTTAATCACATATTTTCCATCAAACCACTATTCCAAAATGCAATTTTTGCAAAAAAATGGGCATCAAACGGGACTCTTAATATTTTATTGCGACAAGGATCGAAGATCCACGGTCGCCCGTGCTGACCCAAAATCCTAGGTCCGTCACTGGTAATTGGGATGATCAATGGAAGGGGGTGACAGGTTGTTAAGGTGCTGGAAAAGAAGTTTGGTGCATTTTCGATAGCCAAAAAACTACCGAAGTAGAATTAGAAATGGAGTGTAAAGGGATAGACAAATTTCTTAATGAAGAACACTTTGGAGAGCTGGACAGACCATTTACTGTGGAAAAGTTCCAAACTACGATTAAATATATGGGCTCCATTAAAGCCCCGGGTCCCCATGGTTGTCACGCTGCATTTTATCGAATGCACTAGGAGTTGATCTGAAGTCAGGTCACGCAGACAATTCTTGAAAGTGATGAACACTGGAAATCAGCAGTAACCATTAATTCTAGAAATCTAGAATTGATCCCTAAGAAAGCACAACCTGAGTATGTGGCTAATTTTAGACCTATTAGCTTATGTATCGTGGTCTATAAAATAGTTTCAAAATCTCTGGCCAACAGACTCGTGCACATTTTGTCTGACTTAATTTCTGAAAATCAAAGTGCTATCATGTACGGGAGG